TTATAATAAAGCACTTAACAATTTTTATTTAATTAAGTAAGGCACCAAAGCATATAGACTAATAACATGCAAAAACTAGACAAATTCATCCAATCTAGTCGTTAACTTTCCCAATGGAACAGTGTTGCTACTCCGAGCAAAATTGACGATTATCTGTTCAGAACACAACGTTATACAATACGTCATTTGATAGATGAAAACCTTGACTTTCTATTGGTTATAGGTAATATATATAATGAAACGTAATAAAGAACTATCAACGAATTGTGAAAGAGAGGATGTAACAGGTGGGTGTGGCAGGAGGGGTCTGATTTTCTATTTGATAGCTCTGTAACCAAATGAAATTGAAGGCTATAAAAATTATGGTTTGTTTGAGCAATAACAATTTTATAAAGATTATTTTACGTATAATTTCGTACATTTTTGAGGGGAGATGGATAAAATATGGATGATTACATGCTAAGACAAAATGTGTCACGTGGGTCACACTAGTGGAAATTCAAGATTTTTTTATATATTTCCTTATAGAATTAAAACTTAAAACTTGTATACTATTAAAATATGGATTATTAGCTAAGATTTTATGCTATTGTAATTGATATAATATAAACAAAAAGTAGTTTAATAAAAGTTTTAATGTAAAACACTAAAACCTTGTGTCATGCACAGTAAAGGGTACCCGGGTAGAGAGGGTTAAAGTATAAAATCTTCCTTTTACAAAACAGACTTACCTCTTTTCACACAAAAGGCTATCTCAATTGTTGACTGCTCTCTAATCTTTGCTAAAATAATTTTAGTAACCAGTGCACCATTCTTTATACCCCACCAGTTTTGCTCCATTTCTGAACATGTACATATCATGTGATTAACTCTCAACCAGTAGCATTGTGCCACCTATTCCCACTCAATCCCCACTTTCTTGACTGGCATGACACAGTTTAGACGTGTGTTTAATTTTTCCGAGTGCGACTATAGTTTTTGATTGTGCTTTGTTACCTCATCAGTTTCCTCACTTTCTTTCCATAATTGTGGTTGCTTGACATACTGCATTCTGTTTGCTTACGATTAGGGTCGTTGAGTATCGATTACACAGTCTGCATGCCCTAGCCACCTATCGTTATTAATTTTTCTATCATGTTATATGTTGATACAGCTTGCACATTCTTAATGCTCTTATGATTAATTGTGCTAGCATTACTTTTTCCATCCGTGAAGAGTATATCTGTTCCACAAGTATTGTGGTACCCCACAGGTGTGCTTCATTTTCATCTCTGAGCACATCTATTCATTCTGGGTAGTCGCTTTCCACTTGGTTTGTTCTTTGTGCACCTACACTTGCCTTCCATCTTTCCAATGTGGGATTCTAGCCTTTTATATGAGAGGAAGTGGTCCATTTTGGAAGTTAACATTTTCTTACACTGAAAATGTATTTCCAATAGATACTTACCTTATCTCACACCCTTCCTTCCCACTAAAACCAATGTTTTTATTTTATTACCTGCCAATTCTCGAGAGTGATGACTGAGTGGGAATAGTAGAGGGAGCTAGTTGCACCATTATAGGTGGCTCAATACTATTGGTGGAGAGTAGTCACATGATTTGTACGTGTTCAGAAATGGCGTGAAACTGGTGAAGTATAAAGAATGGTGTGCTGATTACTAAAATTCTTTTAGCAATGCTTAGAGAGCAGTTGACGACTGAGAAAGGAAATCCAGTTCGGTTAATTTATTTATGCTATAATGTATTTTGATACTTATTTACTGCATTTAGCAAAATTAGTAGGAAACTCCATAAAATGTTAGTTGAATAACTTGATATTTCATAAGCAATAATATATACACACACATATACCCAATTCTCTTGCATGCAGTTAATGGTGCACTATACATAGTCTTTAAATAAAGGTTGGGAGTGTTCACTGAGTAATAGTCTAAGGAAAAAATATTATTTGAGAAATATCAGCCCATCTGCTCATACTTAAATCCACTGAGTAATATGCTAAGAAAAAATAAGTGAAGGATCTCTACATCCCCCTCAACCCAATCATTTATCAATTTAATATGAGAACTACCAAGGCTGTCAATTTAATAGTCTCAATTTTAAAATTTAAATATCTTTGCATGTGTTTGAAAGATATATATGCCTTTGTCTGTTCATTATTTTTCTTAAATCCATTTATTAAATACCCTGACAGTGTTTCCAAAGACCCATCAATTTGACTGCTTTTTACAACACATGCTTTTACTTATAACAACATGCAATTTGGGGTTTGTTTCAAATTAGATGATGAGGAACCCACTTTGAGACTAATAATGCTTGGAGATGGCTTGAATGGGTAATGAAGAAAACTTTAATATAAGTTTAACATAACAGCAAATGTACAACGTTTCAATGAGGTTTTGTCATCATCAGGTACAAGTAATTTACACTGACACAGATATATATATATAGTATTGAACAAAGAGGTCACATGACCGGACACTGCTTTTTATGTCTTTCTATGCTTTTGTAAAATTTTTCATATCAAGTTTTATTTTATTGAAACTACATTTTATTTACACCTCACGCAATTTTTACTGTGTTTACGATTATTGCCTTAAAATAAAAATAACTTAATTTTACCAAAAGTATAAATCAACTATTTTAAAAAAAAAATCATCTAGCTTTCAAATACTCATTTTAAAACACCAAAATATGTCGGGCACTAGAATAGAACGTTTGAAAACGACTATAATTTATTTGGTTTTCTAAGTAAGCTATAAATAAGTTTAAAAAATCTAAATGCTTGGAGGAAAGAACTATGATCACCAAAACCAAATACATTTACTAACTAATGGTTTACCGTGGGCTTACATAGCCCATCTAAACAGTGGCATTCTAATATTTCTATAGAAGAGAAAAGGTTATTTTTATTGGTTATGAGCATGTTTGTGAATCTTGTAAGGGCTCTCAATATATAAAGAGTTGGACAAAGAGGTGAGAAGTTTCTTTAGTGGGTTTGACAAATTTATTCATATAATGCCTACTATAAATCTGGCTTAACAAACAGCTGCAGAATGAAGCTTGATATGATCAACTGCAAAATGACCTAAATAAGCTTACCTTGTATTGTTTTTCAAGAAGCATTTATTTTCCTATTATATTGCAATATCATAATTTAAATTAAGTACGAAATAAAAAAAGCCAGTTTAAAAGAAAATCAGATTTGTAATGGTGGCAGAAGTTGTTCAGAAACTTTTTTTTTCTGTTAGAAACATATTGCCAAACTAAGCTTTTATTACATTGTACTGATCACTGTGTCAGTCTGCTGAACTGGAAGCCATATTACTTTATACAGTTGGAAAGAGCTTTTATAACATTGTTCTGATCTCTGTGCAAGTCTGCTGAACTGGAAGCCATATTGCTTTATATAGTTGCAAAGAGCTTTTATTACGTGTTTATATCGCTAGCTTATGACTTCTCAAAGTTGAGATATAAGCAGTTACATCACTCTAGAACAACCAAGTTTTAGAAAATTTGTTTGTATAAAATTGATAAAACTACACTTGTAGTTGCAAGGCTCAAGTTAGCACTGTTGTATTTGAAACTACTTTTATTTTCCTTCTACAAGGCTATGAGTTCTGTATTATGCTAAGAAAAAAATCAGGAAATATTAATGTTTTCTTTTAGAGCACTCTGAAGTCAACCCAAAATATAAAAAAAAATGTTAAAAAATTAAATAAAACTTTTTCATTAAATTAATTTCAACTTAGATATTTAAAACAGTTGTGAAAGCCTTCTTAAGGCTTGCCATCGAGGTTTTCTTGGTGGTACAAATGTATATATTACATAGTCATTTCATGCCCTTTCATGTAAAGTTTCTTATTGGTACCTGAACTATATGTGTGTCCATTTTACACTTAAAATTAAGGAAGGTTTTAAGTGATACCTTTATGATATTATTAAACCTATGTGTCTTCTAATTCAACATCAGTGTGACAAATTTTGTAAACTTCTTTATAGAAGTAATTAATTAATTGGTTGGTTTAGACCAGTTGCAACATCACAGTGATGACTGAAATTTTTGAGTATTAGAAATCTAACATCTAAATTTAATTGAAAGGTAAATAAAATTAACAATTGACTTTGGTGTAGGTATTGTAAAAACTGGATAACTTGCAATGGTGAAACCATTTTGGTACAGCAAAGTAGCACTGAATGTTTACAGCTGTATGCTCAAATTTCTTCTAGTGGTTGAAAACTGCATTATACTAAGATAAAAAAGAATACATTATCTATCCAGCAGTATAAATATGTCTGTGGTTGACTTCAATTTATAAAATTACACCTTATTTACTTCTCATAAGCACTTTTTAAAATATGATTTAGTACTTAAAGAAAACACAAATAAGCTGTATTTTATTTGTAGATCAATTAATTATGTTTATGCAATTAAAAGATAATTCTACAAAAATATATCCCCTATTTTATCAAACATTTATTTCTACAATCCTAATCACACAATCTGTTTTTTTGACTTGCAGATATGTGACTAGATTTATCTTAACAGTTCTGTTAACCGTAGTATACTCCACTGTTGGATGTAATAGGCTATTAATTTATCATATCCTGATATAAATAGACCTGATTAATTTTGACGTGTCAGGTTTTTGTTTGTAATAGGTTATTAATTTATCATATCCTGATATAAATAGATCTGATTAATTTTGATGTGTCAGGTTTTGTTTGTAATAGGTTATTAATTTATCATATCCTGATATAAATAGATCTGATTAATTTTGACGTGTCAGGTTTTGTTTGTAATAGGTTATTAATCTATCATATCCTGATATAAATAGATCTGATTAATTTTAACATGTCAAGTTTTGTTTGTAATAGGTTAGTAATTTATCATATTACTAACATAAATAGACCTGATTAATTTTAACATGTCAGTTTTGTTTGTAGTAGGTTATTGATTTATAATATCCCGATATAAATAGATCTGATTAATTTTAACATGTCAGGTTTTGTTTGTAATAGGTTATTAATTTATCTTATCCTGATATAAATAGATCTGATTAATTTTAACATGTCAAGTTTTGTTTGTAATAGGCTAGTAATTTATCATATCCTGATATAAATAGATATGATTTATTTTAACATGTCAAGTTTTGTTTGTAATTGGTTATTAATTTATCATATCCTGATATAAATAGATCTGATTAATTTTAACATGTCAGGTTTTTTGTAATAGGTTAGTAATTTATCATATCTCGATATAAATAAACCTGATTAATTTTAACATCTCAAATTTTTTGAGGAATTTTTGATTCTTGCAATTGTCAAAATAATTTTTTTTATATGTATACATAGCACTGAAATATAGACTTGTATTATGTTTTAAAAAGATGGACTATTTTTACTCAGATACTTACAGAAGTTTGGTATCATAATGGAAATATGATTTTAAAAGTCTTTTACAGTAAATAAACATTAAAGATGTTATTTTCATATATGTCACAAAATACATCAATGCCACTTTTAGGTTTGGAACAAATTTGGTACCTTTTTTGTTAAATTAAGGTATGGGCTAGACATGCCCTAGCAGGTATCATCTTGGACTGTGAATCTAAGGGTCCTAGGTTTGAATTCTGTTTCCTCAAAATTGCACATTGCACTTGGGGCCATAAGTATGCTAGTTAAACAAAAAATAGAATATTTGAAAATGTATTAATTTCAATTACAAACTTAAGTAGTCATAATACATAGACAAATGTTTATAGTCAATTTTACTTTTATTTATCCTCTTGAAATGTTCTTTTAGGTACAGAGGGAAAGAAAGACAAGAAAGAAGAAGAAAATAATGTTGAAGAAAATGAAGAGAAGACATAAAGGAGAACTTATGTTTATAATTCAAGGAGTTGATGGAGTTTTAGGCTGAATTGTCCAGTCATTTGCACATTGTTTTTTTTTTTTTCACTTGTCCCTTTTCATATAACCTGTACATGACAGTTGTTATTTCACCATTTCCCATAATGCTAGTTTTGGCGAAAGTGTAATTTGATAGAAAATTATTTTTTATGTGATCTTAATTTGCGGTTTTCTTGATTGTCATTGTCTCTAGTGGCATATTATTCTACTGAAAGATTGGATAACATATTTTAAGTAGAATGAGTTTTCCAAATTTTCTCTTGCAGTCAGTCTTTCTTCTGCATTTAAACTCTTGGTTTACGTGTGAGACATTTGAAGTGAATGTGACATTTTTTTTATCACCTTACAGACTGTGTTAGAAACAGATTTTGACGACTTTTTTTACCATTACGTGTTTTTCCGTTAGATTCATTAACCTGCATGCTTCTCGCTTTATTCAGGGCCAGTTTAATCTTTCTTATACAAAATATGTAATGGTGAAATTACCTGTTTATGTAAAGAATAAAAAAATCAATAAATGTATAAACTTGAAAAAAAAAAAGATAAAAAATAATCTCATTTTTTATTTGAACCTAACTTATAATGCAATTTTCTGTTCAAATACAAAATGTATAAAACATTGAAAGCCAACCATCTTCTTGAACTGCTTACAAAAAACTTATTTGATATTAAATATGATAATTTATTAATCCAGAAAGTTTGTTTTTAAAAAAAAAAATGTGCTAAAAGACAAGTGACAAGTTGCTGATTTGGAATTTAAATGGATTGGGAAATTGTCAGGATTCCTTTATGTGTATGTGAGTGTATCACACAAACTCAAGATATATGAGGAATTACAATCAACTAGGGTTAGCTTTTTTGTTAGGCATGGTCTTTGGCTTTGCTTTAGTACAAAATATTTACTTGGTTCGTATAATTTGTTGTAGTCGCTTCAAAGGTTTGTAAAATCATTGTTTTTTTTCTAAGATTTAAGAGTTACCTAATATATGTATATCATTAAGAAAGGAAAACCTATTCAAGCAAAGGCAGTTATAAGAGAAAAGTTTTAATGAAACTAATTTTGTGAAAAAGAAAAGACGTAAGATTATAAATATGAGACTTAAAAAGCTGTAGGTGTTAAGTTTGTAGGGCCAAAACGTCTAGTAAGTGCACCAGTTTTAGAAGTTCTGAACTAAAACGGTGGATCCTGTTCAGTAGAATAAACACACACACGTGGTTAGGGTGCTCCACTTACAATCCCCGTCACACTAAACATGCTCGCCCTTTCAGCCGTGGGGGCATTATAATGTGACGGTCAATCCCACTATTCGTTGGTAAAAGAGTAGCCCAAGAGTTGGCTGTGGGTGGTGATGACTAGCTGCCTTCCTTCT